TTTTCCTCACTATGAAACAAAGAAAACTTAGGCACTCTATAATTTTTAGGAAAAGGTTCCCCATCTACCCACTGTGGGTATGGCTTCCTAAATTTAGGCCTTTCAGGCCTTCTCATCCCTAGACCATAAAGGTCTTGAACAATCTGGATAATTTGGTCCTGTTGATCAACATGGTTAAAAGCATTTTGTCCCCCATACCCATAGTTATTTTCATAAGGCTCATGCATGTCGACATGTAAAAGGGGTGCTGGACCTCTTGGCCTTGGGCCATTACCAAATGGTGCATGGTATATGTCAAGCCTATGCACTTCAAGATATGCACCCATATCCCTAAAATTATTTATTCTTTGATTTCCATAACCCACTTTAGGAACTTCTCTATACCCAACATTTTCAAACCCTTGATTATAATTTTCAAAAACCACATTAGTTCTTGGCCTCATACTAGGATAACCATTAAATTCTATGTTAAACAAATTTCTATTTTCTACCTCTTTTTGGCCATATAGTGGGTTAGGAAAAACATTTGACCCAGGTTGCTTCCTAGGCCAATTTCCTTAAATTTTAACATTTGAGGTTTGGAATACCTCATGCACTTTTTCTTTGGCAGTTGGGTCCCTGTAAAAGGACATTGGCTCACCAACAGACTGATGTTGCATACTAGTTAGTAGTAGCATGTGTGCACCCCTGCCTTTGAAGACACATTTTGTGCCTTTACTTCACTCTGCTTTGTATGCTCCATTGAAGGAGCTTTCAACACACTCCTCACTTCTCCCAGAAGGATCTGGTTCTCCTTCAGTAACTAGTTTGCCATTGCACTCCTTATTTGAGCCACCAGGAGTCCTGTGGGAATTCTGGCATGGCCACTTGTCTGGCCTTCTATACTCATTGCTTGGCCACTCATTTCGCCTTTCTAGGCCACTACCTGGCCTACATGCTAAGCAACACCATCATCAACCAAGACCAAGTCTTGGTCCATTTATTCTTCTTTAAACTTAGCATGCCTCTTCTCAGCATGCTTATCAACCTGTTTCTTTGCCTTTAACATTTTTTGATCCAAATTATGGAAGATGTCCCATTGGGCGTGCCAAAAATTGTTAGTAAAAATTATGCTCACTCCTAATCGACAGGATTTGAACAACAATTTAAACAAACAATTGAACAAACTAATCAAGCGACTGTGTCTTTGATTCAAATGCCTTGAAAGTACAACGACTTCTTTGGAACAAAAGTTACAATCAGCAAGATCAAGCAAAGTAAAAAAAGCAAACTAAAGATGATTTCGAGATGAAACCACCAATGTCTACAACGATTACGAATTACAGATAGAAACTACTCTTAAACTAAGAAAGCTACTCCTAGATTATGCTAAGTCTAAATCTAGTTCTTTGTGTTGTTGTTGATCCTTTTCTCTCTGCAAATTTCTAGCCTCTATACTTCTTCTTTCCCACGCCCCCATGATCTCCTCAATCTGCAATTGTTGCTGTGTAACTACTGCAACTACTTCCTGGCTTCTAGGCCTTCTAATCACATTAAACCTTCACTTTTGTCTGTTGAGATGCTTCCTCTTTAAGTTTCCATACATCTCTCAGTCTTTTGGACCTTCCATCAATAGAGAAAGAAACTCCCACCTTACACTTTCCTCTTTCTGCAAGTCACCCACTAAGCTCACGACTTAGCCAGTAACAGCTCCATCACCAGCACTGTTTAATGCACATTTATCAATCTCTCTTATATCGCTTACCCTTTTTCATAACTGTTGAACCCTCACTTGATTTTGCTACATGTCGTATCCTAACTGGTCCACCTATCAACAGGAACCAGCAAAAATGGGTGCAAACAGTTTCTTATAAGCTTTGAATCACTTTAAAGCCTCAAAAGAGAGAGAGAGAGAGAGAGAGACCCAAACCTTTCAAATCATAGTTTCTTCATCTTTAATTCATGTAGCCACCACTGCTGTTTGCAACCACAACCATGTAAGCCTTCATCGCTACTGCCGAAGTCACCGTTTGCAATTGTTGCTGCCGACTACCACTGTGATCATTGTTGCTCCTACCTTGAAAGCTCTCACTGCCGCCAAAATCATCACTGGCAACCACATCCACAGCCTCACGATCACTATTACCACCTCTTTTACAACCCACCATCGACAGCCCAATTCCACCGCTATCGCAACCTTGTCCCCATCTCCGTCATCGTAACCTAGCTCTGTTCCTTGCTGCTCCACCACAAATAGCACCACCGCAATGCCCCCACCTTGGCCATTGCAACACCCGATAAAGCACGGAGAGAGAGACAGAGAGAGAGAGAGAGAGACCATATCTATTTTATGTCTGAAGGAAAATGAAGAAGAATGAGAAGGCAGTGACGGGGAGGAGATGAGAGTGACGACGAAGGAAGGAAGTGAGGCGGAGAGGGCCTAAGTAGAAGGGAAGGGTGGCGGAGTCGCGGTGGCCATGACGGTGGTAGGCTAGTGGAAGTGGTGGTAATGGGATGGAGGTAAAGAACTAGGGTTTGCAAGGTTTGAGTGTAAAGAGAAGAGTGAACAACAAGGATGGAGATAGAAATGGTATTATAAAAATTGTAAAAAAATAAAATGAAAATTTATATTTTAAAAGGTGTAAGGAGATAGTTTTGTGGTGTAAGTAGAATTTATCCTAAAAAAAATAGTATTTTTTCATCTACATAATTATCCTTACAAATCTCCCAAATGTAGTAAGAAAAAGACATATTAATGATCCACATTTTATGGTGGGGAAATCAAAGCAGAGCAGGTTCTGTCACAACACCATGTTTTTGTTTTTGTTTTTTTTTAAACAAAAGAGAATATATATATATATATATATATATAGATCAAGAAAAAGTAGTCGATACAAGTAGAGGAAACAACTCAGCAAGAGGTAAGATAACCCACTTAACAGATAAAGACATGCATGAGCCTGAGCAATCCAATGCACCACTATATTGTGGATCCGCCTTGTCCAGTTGAAGGTCATTATATTTCTTGCTTGTGAGAGCCACTTAATGTCAGAGGAGATGGCCTTGCGGTGCCAAAGGGGTACATTCTCAGAGACAAAGTTTGATAACCAACGAATTATCACTTTCAACAACTACATTGGTCAAATTCCTCTCTTTAGCCATCAAACAGGCCAAATGAACCGCTTGACTGCCAAATGATACTGTTTTGTTTATTAAAAAAAAATATTTGAAACACACGCACACCTGTCTTGCTGTTGCGTAGAACACACTTTTGTCAATTGACTTTAGGAAAATATGGAGAAGCTATAGGGGGAAAAAAAATTTAAAAAAAATTTGAAACAAGCAGCATGTGACCATCTGTTTGGAATGTAATTTGAATTTTGGATGATTTGGTGAAGGAACTGGATTTAGAATGACATTGAACATTAAATTTATTGGTTGATTTACAGTTTGAATTCAAGTTTACTTTTTTATCTTTGATTTAATTTAAATTTTTGTATCAATTTAGTTTAATTGACAATGATGTTAGAGTTTTTGACAAAAAATAATTACTAAGTTAGTTGATGCTAACTCAGTGAATTGATAAAGTTTATAAATTTGTGTTTTTGAAAAATTTAGCTAAAATTCCTCCATTGGACCTTTATTTGGTGAAAATGATAACCTAATTTATTTTACTTTATAAATCTCCTAAGGAGAAAATACATAATTGAGTAAGGAGAAAATAAAATATATATTTTTTTTCTTGGAAAATATTGCCAGAGTAACATATTACTATAAACCAGAGTAACATGTTACTGTGAGATAGGGTAATATGTTACTGTTAAATAGATTAACATGTTACTGTTTACATCAATTTCGACGGTAATATATATATATATTTTTATTTTAAGAATTTCATAGTCAACATAGATCTTATTTGATAAATATTGATGAGAAAATTCTAAAAATACCAATTTTATTAAAAATCGACATCTACATCAAAAGTTATATTATTTTAAAGTTTAATATTTTGATAATAATGATATGTGTTGGACTTTTCAAGAAATTTTTTTTGTGCTTATCCTTAATGTATTAAAGTTTTATTATGAAGGGGGTTTTGACTAAATCTCTTTTGTTCTTACATGATACACGTCACTCATGTTCGCATTTTCATAAAAAAATAAAATAAATAACAATTATAATGAATTGAATCAAATTCGAACAAAGTAAAAAATATATAGTCAAAATCGAGTTAATTAAAATAACATAAATTAAAATGAAAAAAAAACAAAATATAAAAACTATCGGCGCAATTTACCATAAAATTTATTTTTATAAAAAATAATTTTGAGATAAATAAAAATATTATAAAATTTTATTTTTATACAATTTTTTACATATTTTTTTCAACTAATCAAACCAATTGTTTCAATATTTTTATTTTTCATAACTTTTTATTTGTCCAAAGTCAACCCAAACATAAAAGTGTTGTTCTATCCACACCACACACAGTAAGACGGAGGCTTAAGGTGTGTTAATAAATTTTTTTCTTTTAATAAACAAAACGGCATCGTTTGATTGTCACAGCACCTACTCCTTCTGGAGAGATGGTGTGAATGAAGCATTTGAAAAATGTTTTGTAGTTTAAATTTGTGTAGGAGAGATGGTGTGAATGAAGCATTTGAAAAATGTTTTGTAGTTTAAATTTGTATAATTTGAATGACTTTAATATATTAAATAACAGTATTTTATATTTAAAATAATGTTATTTTGTGATATTTGAGTTATTCGAGTTATGAAAATTTAAATTTATGTGATTTAATGATTTGAATATATCAAAATGACATTACTTTACATCTAAAACGATGTTGTTTTGAGGCATTTGAGTCATTCGGATTATAAAAATTTAAATTTATGTGATTTGAATGACTTGAATATATCAAAATGACATTATTTTACATCTAAAATTACGTCATTTTAAGACATTTAAACTACTCTGGCCATGAAAATTTGGATACCAAGCGTTGTTGGAAGCATTTTTCCAAATTTAATTGAGCTAAAAATTCCTAATTTCTCTCTCTCACGTGCACAAACAAACAAACAAATATGACCGTTGGCTATTTCGTCACAAAGCCCAAATCGAAACCGAGGATCCGTCGTCCCAATCTTCATGGATGAAATCCAGATGGGTGTTTCAAAAACTAAGTCCCCACCTTCCCTCTTGGGCCTCCTCTCTCGTCTCCCCATTCAACTCCCTCACTTCCCCAAACCCTTCCTCTGGAATTCCAAGCCTCATCTTTGTCCTCAACCATCTCGACATAAGCCTCCTTCTCTCCACCTGTGGAAGACAAGGCTATATCCATCTGGGTTCTTCTCTCCACGCCTCAATCATCAAGAACTTGGAATTCTCTCATCTTCACCACAATCCTATTCATCTCCGAAATGCGCTCGTTGTTTGGAATTCTCTCCTCTCCATGTACTCAAAATGTGGGGACTTATCGGATGCAGCTAAGCTGTTCGATCATATGCCCATGAAAGATACCGTTTCATGGAATTCAATGATATCTGGGTTTTTAAGAAATGGGGAGTTTGAGATGGGTTTTGGGTATTTTAAACAAATGCACCATTCGGGTTTTTGTCGTTTAGATCAAGTGACTTTGACTACGCTTTTATCTGCATGCGATGGACCGGATTTATGCTGTGTGAATGAGATGATACATGCGTTAGTATTTTTAAATGGATATGAGAGGGAGCTCACGGTAGGGAATGCATTAATTACGTCGTATTTCAGATGTAGACAATTCAATTCGGGAAGGCGGGTTTTTTGTGAGATGCTTGAAAGGAATGTCATTACTTGGACAGCTATGATCTCGGGTCTAGCACAGAATCAATTTTATGAGGAAAGTTTGAAACTGTTTGTGAACATGCGTCGTGGATTGGTGGAACCCAATTCTTTGACATATTTGAGCTCACTCTTGGCATGTTCCGGTTTGCAGGGACTTAAGGAAGGCAAGCAATTACATGCACTTGCTTGGAAATTGGGAATTCAATCAGATTTTTGCATTGAAAGTGCATTGATGGACATGTACTCTAAATGCGGTCGCATGAAAGATGCAATGGAAATTTTTGAGGCTGCTGAAGTTCTTGATGAGGTTTCCATGACTGTTATTCTCGTGGGTTTTGCACAAAATGGGTTTGAGGAGGAAGCTATTCATATTTTTGCGAAAATGGTAAAGATGGCAATCAAGATTGATGCAGACGTGGTTTCAGCTGTTCTTGGTGTCTTTGGGGTCGATACGTCTTTGGCTCTTGGTAAGGAAATCCACACTTTGGTCATCAAAAAAGGCTTTGGTTCTAATCTCTTTGTCAGTAATGGACTGATCAACATGTACTCAAAATGTGGTGATTTGGAGGATTCAATAAAAATCTTTAAACAAATGCCTCAGAGAAACTCAATTTCATGGAACTCCATGATAGCAGCTTTTGCTCGTCATGGAAATGGCTCCAAATGTCTTCAACTATACGAAGATATGAAATTAGAAGGTGTAGAGCCAACAGATATCACATTCCTCTCCTTGCTTCATGCTTGCAGTCATGTCGGATTAGTAGATAAGGGCATGGAGTTCTTAGAGTCCATGACTAGAGTTTATGGAATTTGTCCGAGGATGGAACACTATGCTTGTGTTGTTGACATGTTGGGCCGAGCAGGGCTTGTTAACGAAGCCAAGACTTTCATCAAGGGATTGCCCGTAAAGCCAGACATACTTGTTTGGCAGGCACTTCTCGGTGCCTGTGGCATTAATGGTAATTCTGAAATCGGAAAATATGCAGCTGAGCAGTTGTTTTTGGCAGCACCTGATAGCCCATCGGCATACATTTTAATGGCCAATATTTATTCATCTAGAGGACAATGGAAAGAGAGGGCAAGAACTATCAAGAGAATGAAGGAGATGGGAGTGGCAAAAGAAATAGGAATAAGTTGGATAGAGATTGAGAAAAAAGTTCACAGTTTTGTAGTTGAGGATCGAACGCATCTGCAAGGAGAGATTATTCACGGTGTATTGCTCGAGTTATTTAGACACATGAGTGATGAAGGACATGTCCCAGATAGGAAGTTTAATCTATACTACTTGAATCTAGATTGAGGGGGTTTAGTAGGGTAAGAAAAGAGGATTATAGTTATATTTGTCATTTTTTTTTTTTGGGTGTGTGTGTGTGTGTGTGTTTAGCTTTAGTATCACATATTCAACTAAACTCTGAAAAATGAGGCAAGTGTAGTTTTTGTTTTCTGCAACTTTGAGAACAGAAAACTGGTTTTAAAAATTATTCTAAAACAACCTTATCTTTCCTTGTTTTTCTTTGAATTTTGGGAAGTAGAACATCTGAATGTGTCATTCTAGTTGAAGAAATTGATTTTGCAAACCAACAAACCATGTGTGACTTGTTATTACATGTATTCCTTTTACTTAAGTTCTGAATCACTATCAACTCTTGAGCTAAAGCTTGGCACTAGCAAGTTTGCTTAAAATGACTAGCACATCCCAATGTATAATGTTGAGTAATTTGGTGAAAATGGTAAAAAGTTCGAGTGAAATGGAAAATGATTGACGCGAGGAAGAAGGTCAAAATCTCCAACTGAACCAATTACATTTATGGGGATTTTGGTGATTATGCTAGTAGCTCTTATATTTTAGTTTTGTGTCATTTTAAAGGATGTTTGTTTGGAGAGATTGAATAGAGGGGTTGGACTCCATGTCCAATATCTCACCTAGTCCATTGTTTAGTTGAAAATTTATAGGCTGGACTAGTAGTCTGACTGAACTGTTAGTCTCTCATATGTGAGACTATCTTGTCTTAAGGGGAGGAGGGACTAGCCCTCCACTGAATTAGCTAGTAAAAAGACAATTGTGTCCTCTAAGTATTTAAGCAATGTTTGGTTTGGTATTAGAAATTTGTTTTAGAATATTTTTTTTTCTAAAAAATTAAAAATTAGTTTCGTGAAGAAAACAAAAAAATAAAAAATAATTTTTAAAAATTAAAATATATTTTTTATGTTTATTTTTGTCAAACCAGTTTTTATTTTTTCAAAAATTCAGAAAATATTTCCTTGTGATATGATAGTCCTCTTGAATTTGTATTGTTGTTTTTGTCAAATTAATATTGCTTTTTAATGTTATGTATTGCACTTAATAAAATAAAATTTAAAAGTCTCAACTAAAAAATAAAAAGGCACTTGGTTCATAAATCTAATTTTAAATTTTTTTTGTCTAAAGATTCACACTCTAAAATATTTTGTTCATAAGGACAAAATCCTGCAAAATGACCAAACTACCCAATATATGTATTATTTTCCAAACCCTAGCAAATCATTCTCTCACTCTCTCTCTCATTCCTCTGCCTTTACCACCAGCAATCTCGCTCCTCCGTCTCTACCACTATAATTACCACTACCACCTGCTGCCTCACCATCGTCTTCTTGTCGTAAAAGTAGCAGCGCCGTCAAGGCTCTTAGCTCTCGAATTATCTCATTGTCTCTCATCTCCGTCGTCGTGTTGTCAACGAGTACCATGAGTCCTCATCATCATCACTGTCAAAACTCAAAAATACAGATCTATTTCTTCTTCATCATCATCAACTTGAGAGTCAAACCTCAGATCTGTGTCATCATCAGCTTGAGATCTGTGTTTATATATATATATATATAGCGAAATTAGATATGAGAAATATATATATATACATATGAATATGATTTTCTCTCTTTTTCTATATATATCTTTGTATATACATATATGAAGATTCTGATTTCGTGAACCTTTTATCAAGTAACAAATTGAACGAAACCAATCTATTTCTCAGATCTAAAAATGAAGATGATATTATTCAATTTGTACAGATTTATTTTGTTTAATTTTGTTTTCAACATATCTCTTATATAGCGATTCTGGTTTAAACGTAACCTATTTGATATTCTGGATTTGGGTTTCATGGTTCTGTAAGCTTTTTCATGTCTTATTCATCTTTTCTCTTCTTGAGTTTGGCTTTTGGGTTGCGTTGGTTGTATTTAGAACAGGTTGGTACCTTGTTTTTCAAAAGCCTTGTTGTCCAGAATTTTACCTATACTCTCGAGTGTCACTTCTTGTGCTCAAGCGGTCAATGTGAACTCTCAGTACTTTTGTAGGTCTGTAAAATTACTAAAAAAGTGTATTCTACGCTTGAGTGGTGCTTCTTGCACTCGGGCAATCATGCACTCGAGCGACTCTTCTTCAGCTCAAGAGGTAGACATCTGTCTATAAAACTACTGGGAGTGTGTATTCTATGCTTGAGCGTCACTTCCTGCACTTGAGCGGTGACGTCTTTTTTCATTGTGTCTTGGCGCTCGAACGTCACTTCTTACGCTGGAGCGGACTATGTGTATATTAGTTCGTAAAAATTATTTTTTTAAATCACTTTTTCATCTCTCTCTCTCTTTCTCTCTCTCTAAACTTTCTAAAAATCCTAAGTTGAGACTCTCTCTAAAGCTCACTTTCTCTCTACAAAAATACTAAGATCTATCTATTTCTCCACCCTGCTCCCTTTGTTAAAAAGGTGGAGCTCACCTAGAGATTCGTTTTCATCCAAATAGAGTTGGGTTTCAGCTTTATCCGACTTTCCCCTGTGTTTATCTCGTCTTCTAGCTTTGAGGTAGGGATTCTCTACACTCTTTTATGATTATTAACTTAGTTATTTATTTTTATGAAACAATCTTGTGATTTTTGGAGGATTTTGAACAAACCTAGGGTTTTTGTTTAAAATTAAAAGAGGGGTTTTCAAATGGATGTATTGAAAATGATTGTGGGGTTGGAAATGAGGTGAAGTTGTGATAAAACTATTGATTTGATACTTGGAATGGATTTTGGAAGAAAAATGGGGTTTTACCCTAAATGGCTCAAATATTTATTTTGTATAAATAAATGAAATTGATATTGGAAATGTGAAATTTGATAGATATTGATAGAGATAGTGGACTTTGATATACATTATCAATCACCTTGAAATTTAAACAGTTTATCTGTATTGGAGATTTTATATCTGTTTAGAAATATATGTTTTGGGCTATCGGTGAAGGATAGCTATAATTGTTGTAGAAATTGCATGAGGATTAGGTGACTTGAAACTAAATTATCTTCCATGTGCGTTAAATATTGTTACTCATTTAATACATTGCAAATGTATGTAATTTTAAGAAAAATAGGTAAAAGTTGGAAAGATATGTGTATCACCAAACTAAATTGGCATGTGTGCCCAGGATAAAAGTCCCGAAAAACGCGTGTATACAAGGGTGCCGATTCTCGCAGATGAAATGTGACACCTGAATGTTTTTAAATTTAATATTGCAATAAATAGAACTCAAAATAAATAAATAAAAATAAAAATAAAAATAAAAATAAATAAAAAAAGTCAATAAATAAATCAATAAATAATAATAATTAATAAAATGAATAAATAAATAAATAAATGCATACTTTAGGAAATTGGGAATTAATCAATTAAATTGCTAAGGAAATAAAATGTGAGGCACTGCATGTTAAATATTTTAGTAAGTGGTAAGTGATATTTTATAGTTGGGTAGTGAGGTTTTTAGACACGAACCTAACCTATAATCATATCAAATTTTTAGGGATCATTGTGAATTATCAAAAAGGGTGACAACTCTTACAATTATAAGAAGTCAACCCTAATCTCCTAGAGCCAATGAATTAGATGACCTTTGGACATTTGGCGAAGTAAGTGTCAAGGGACAGGCCAGGTGGTGCCTTCTGAGACCACGTAATCAACTTGGGCCCCAAGAATTGTTGCATATAAATAGGGCGTTATAGTAGAAGCAAAGATGGCAATCAACGAAAAGAGTAGAAGAAGGAATAGCACGTGAGGTTCGGTAGCACGGGAAAAATATGGATAAATTTATATTAGAGGTGAGTTTTATTATACATTAAGTTACTATAATATGTTTTCTACATGTCTTGAGTTACCATAATATATTTTATGAATGTTTTGAGTTACCACAATTTATTTTATATAAGTTATGTTTTATGGTTAGGTTAATGTTTCAATTATGTGGATTATTTTCTGAACTCTATTTGCGTAAATTAAAACCCATGGATATGTTGGTTTAAATTTTAGAAAGTATTTGACAATGATCTTGTAAACAATTATTTTCTGTAGTACCATCACAGGAGTCCCATGCTTTGGGGGACTTAAATAATCATTGGCCTCTGTTTGATCACTTTGTGGTCCCTTGTTTGTCATGGATCTATTGACCCTTATTCTGATTGTCACTCTAGTGACTCTTGTTCTATTCTATTCTGTACCATGGTTATAGTTATTTATTTCAATTTCTGTCACTTAATTAATTTATGTATTCAACTCAAATTATGTTAATGTTTTAGCTTAAATAACTATCAATGGCTATTTTGGTGCCCCTATACTCACAGTATAATATTTATCACTCTGCTATGTACTTATAGTTGTCACCCCTTTCAGGTGACGAAGTTTAGCGGAATCAAGATAGGGAATGAATCGCTGTATTTTTTTTTTTTTTTAAGATTTCTATCTGTTTTTTTTTTTTTTTTTTTTTATATCGGACTCTTGTAATACAATAAAGCTCAATTGACTATGTTTGTTTCATTTTATTAAACATTTGGTACCCAATTATTTTATTTTAATTTATTTAATTTAACCGCTTGCGCTACGACTACAAAATTGTTTGAATTATTTTATGTTTATCTTGTTATGACGCTAAGCCTTTGGGTACCAGGTTCGGGTCGTGACAAAAGTGGTATCAGAGCAATGGTTGTTTTTTTTTTTTAAATGTATAAGTTTTGAATTTTTCTGTATAATTTTCACATTCATTGAAATTCACATTATTTTAATTGCAAAAAAAAAAAAATTATTAACCTTGTATTATTTGATATTATGTGTTGTGTCTAAAACAAGTAAACCATATTATAATGTCTAGGCTAAGTTTTCCTGTGTTGTAGGAAATGGCCAACCTTATGAAGTTGTTTTGATTCGAGCTCCCAGGAGCTCATCTTGTCCCAAACTTATTAGAGGGCTGGGGTGATTCGGAGAGTCTTGTCAGGCAAGCCTACCCGGCACTTGATCGACTCATGGGACGACCCGTATATTTGCAGGCCGACCCCGATGAGGATTTCTTATTCTGGAGACTTAGTCGAGGCAGCACTCGTGAGAGGTACATAGGGCCGACCCACGTCGTTGGTCTTGTTCCGGACCTAAAGCAGCCGCATTTTCTGATCACACCTTTACCCCTAGGCATTGCGGAGAGGAGGGAACACGCATATCCTAGCAGCCATATCCGCACCACAACACCTCCTCTACAACATATTGTCTATACCCCCGCTGTGGACTTCACTAACAATGCATCATACTTGGA